AAGTTTCCTGCCAAAGTTTGAATATTTTTATGCCTTTTTCTATAATTTTGACTAAATAGACAACCTTTAATCTGTGAATTTTAAACGTGTTGTATACAATACATGGGTCCATATATTGAACACAACTCACAAATCAAATTGAAGGCAGTTTCCTTATTGGAAGATGTGGTGGTTGTGAAATCCTGCTTTACTTGCATTTTGCTATATTTAAGCTCACTTTATGCATCCCCCCCCATGTACTTACACTGTTTTTAAAACACTGTAATAGAAAGGAGTACCAGTACATGCTGATAGTTTGAAATTACATGGCTGCTTGGAACAGGATTCATTGAGACTTTGAAGTCAAAGAAATTATGTGTGAACCATGGGGAAACAACATTTCAGACACATGAAGTTTAGCTCAATTTCAGCAACAAATTCTACAACTCATAAAAAGCAGGACATTATCTCACTAAAAATTGAAGTGAATTTCTAGTTGAAATAAAGCAACATGATGTAATTTGACTATATTCATAGAATTTGACAAAATGTGAACAAAATGAAACTAACAAATCAAATGGAGCAAACACCCCCCCCCCCAATGAAAAAGATGAAAGTTGTAAATATGTTCTCAAAGTCCTCAAAATCTTCATCAAAAGAGCTATTAGCAGACATTTACAATGATTTCAGTATGCAATTTGAAAAAATACAATATCTTGAAAACTAACTTGACAAACTTAAACCCAAACTTTGGAAAAAATCAATTACTGTACAGTACTTTATTTTCACTTTGAAATTATTTTTGCTGAAAGGATTAATCAGTGGAAAAACATTTTTTTTCTTTATTTTTTAAGAAACTCGTCAAAAATCAATGAAAATAAACTTCAACCAAAATGCCTTTTTCAGTGAAAATTAATTCAATCTTAAATAAAGTATTTTACAGTATTTAAATTTCACCAGTTTCAGTCTGAATGCAATGGACAAGAATTGATATCACAAGTTTATTAAAAGTAAACCTTTGGCAACAATCCAAAGGCACATAGAAACAGACAAAAAGAATTTTTGTTATGAGATTCTAATGTAAATTTGTTTGACAAGGACATTCGAGTATCTCTATTTCCTTTTCAGACACAGCAACAAATTTGAAATCTTTTTTTTACATATCTAATTATTTATGGGGTTGTCACTTCAAAAGGAAAAAAATTCTTGATACCCATTTACACAGCATCATACGATATGTAGAAACTTATTTATACCAGTACAATTGTAAAGTGTCACCGTTGTTGCTATGGTTACATTTGATATAGCTCCATACACATTTTTAAAAAAAAAATTTCGAAACGATTACTGGTAATGCAGTATGATTGATGGAAATAAGAGTTTACAATATCACCATGAATATTTGCTGAAATTTATTAAAGTGTTGATTGGAATTTAATTCATACTTGTGAATGTATTAAAAAAATTATAATTCATACATAGTAAACAGAAATACCTACTACTTAACCCGCCCCCCTCCCCCTCCCCCTCCCCTCCAAATTTACCAGTTAAGGCAACAGACTATCAACAGTTAATCAACACACATCATACACAAGTAAACTACAAAGTACGGTACAATAGAAAGATATCCATATACTAGTACTTGTTTCTGTTGAAAAAAAGGGGTTAAATTTTCATGGGGCACAGAGCACTTGTAATCATCTATGTTCTGCTTTTAAAAAAAGAGGGAAAACTCGAAAGGGAAAGAATATTGAAGAAAAGAAACAACAAATTCCAAGTTCTGATAAGTTTTTTTTTTCTCTTCTTATAATACAGAACAATATCAATTAAGATGTAGGATAAATTTGTTAATAAAAGGACATGCTTTCATAGTGATCTACATTTCCACACTGTTCAAAACAAGTTATACCGGTAATCATATTCTAGGTACATCATTTCATCAAAGAATTCACCACCAATTGTTGTTGAAAAGCTCATGAAAATTCCTATAAATTGTCAGACATTGCGCATTTAAATATTGTGTAAACAATTCATGTTATGAATGTTGCATGGGACCCATTACGACCCATGTTATGAATGTTGCATGGGACCCATTACGACCCATGTTATGAATGTTGCATGGGACCCATTACGACCCATGTTATGAATGTTGCATGGGACCCATTACGACCCATGTTATGAATGTTGCATGGGACCCATTACGACCCATGTTATGAATGTTGCATGGGACCCATTACGAACACAATGTAGCACAACAGCTGTTGGCACGTAAAATTTACTACCACTAGAAATGTTCACTCTTTGATAATATAATAGCGATCACAATGACTATATTTCCTGAATGTAAATATGTCTTGAGATGACCAATAAAATTCCAACTAATAAAAAATGTTTTCCTTTAACTGACAAAATTCTTTGCTTTAAAGGTAAAAGTAATTTTTAGTATGTTGACAACGGTGAATGGTTGCTGTGGCTTAGCAGCAAGAAAAAAAAATGGCTGCCTACTCACATACTACACATAGTGCAATATGACATTATTTGGAACCAACTCTTAACTATCGGGAGTAAAGCTGACATCTTTTGTCATTTGTGTTAACGCAAGCTAACTATTCGTCAGGAAGCGACAACATCTTCAGGTAAATCAAGTAAAAAGCAGGCAAATTTATTTTAAAGCATCTTTGAGCTTAATTGTATTGGAAATAAGAATTATTCTCATAACTGAATACTTCATAAAATTTAATACTGTCCTATCGTTTGCTATGAAATTAATCACTTAGAAATTTAACAGCAAAAAGAACACAATATTTACAAACTATTCAAAGAATGGCTATTCTTCAAAGGCAGTGTTTTACTGAGGAGAGAAGTCTGGATACTGAGGCAAGTTTTGTGTTCCATCTCTGCCATAATGCGGTTCTGTATAGAAAAAAAAACAATAATTAGAATAAAAACTAGTAATTGACACATAGACCAAGATGCACTGCAGTTGACCTTTGACACAGACCAAGATGCACTGCAGTTGGCTGGAGTAAAGAAATAACAAATAACCAATTCATGTCAATGTCAGAGGCATATTGTAATGAAATAATACATGATACATTTTTGCCAGCAAGCTGATAATGATGTTAGAATATGCAAATTAATATAATTGAAAATGCAGTAATCAGTGGCCAATTCAGAAATTTAGAAAGTTGTTTTCTGGGAGGAATTTGAAATACTGACTTCATCAATAACTACTGATACACATTAATTTGAGCTAACTGGTGTTAGGATATCAACATAACATGATGAATTCAGTTAATTGGTATGCAAATTAGATAATTAACAAATGCAGTAGTATTAGACATTCAACTATAGAAACAATATACCAGTACATGTACATTGTATTAAGTTTTTACTGATTTAAGCCAATAGTTGTTAATATTAATTAAACATGCTGAAAGGGGTTAATTAGAATAAAAATTAGCTAATTATATGTGTAGATGCAGATTAATTCTGAATTCAATTACAACAACAAAAACAGTTTTAATCTATTTGAGTAAAAAGTTGTTAGGAAAATAAGAAAACAAAAGTAGTTAATTAGTATATTCAGATTAATTACTACTGGTAATTAGTATTAGAAACTACACAAACAAAATGCATGTACTAAGTTTTAACCCTTTTAAGCAAACAGTTGGACCTTTGGACACCATGAATAATTTTTTTTTATCACAAACGTATAATTTCATTTAAAATTTGAGCATCGAATTCAAAAATTGTAGGACTGACTGTAAATGAATGTTCTTATGCTGGCAATTGCTGTTGCAAAGAAGGTTGAAAGGAAGGTTTTTCTGATTGCGTTATTTTGGCACCCACTGTAAACTTGCAAATACCAGGCCAAGATTACAGGTGTAGATTGACAAAAATAGAATATATACATCTACTACTTTAATTTGACAGATAGCTACAATGATGATCAGTGGGTTAGTCTATTTCTACAAGCTGTGAGATCACCCACTTGAGTTTACATATAAGGTGAACCTAGATTGAGATCTACTTGGAAAAACAAAATATCCAATCAATGAACTAATAGAAGCATTATGATGAGATGGTGAATGGAACTAGTATGTAGAGAAAACACTCAGGGTATCAGAGGGAAGAAAGAATTATGTCAATTCTTGTTTCCTAAGTTTGTTCCCAGAACATCTCAAAGATTAACAATGACTATGCCCTCAAGTAATATCTACCTTGAAAACACAAGGAACTGTGAGTGTTACTGTTAGTAAGCATCACAACAAGGATGATGTCAGTAAAGCAGCGATGCACAGATCGTACAGCAAAGCACAGACCAAGCGCAGATGGAGAAGTTAAGTGCAGCCCGGGCAGCAATGCGCAGACCGGGCCACGTTTTGTAGGCAGGGCAGCAACGCGCAGGCCGAGTAGCTAAGCACAGACCAAGCGCAGACCGAGCAGCGATACGCAGGCCGGCAGCAATGCGCAGGTTGGCAGCAATGCGCAGACCGAGCAGCTAACATTAACTCTTTGAACTCCATTCTTTTTCTTTTTTTTCATTTCAGTCAGGTATTTTGCAGTAATTTCTTTGTTAATTTTAGATCAAAAAGAGAGAATTTCCCATCAAACAAATATGAAGAAAAAAATGCAGGTATAATTTTTGTGAAATGTGACAAAAAGTTGATATCAGTGTTAAATAAGTACTGTTGAAAGACACCAAAAGAGATGATTTGATGTAATGTCAAGCCCTATGAGAATACTTATTTAATAGAACCTACACTACCTCAGACGAACTAATTTGTACAAGACACTCTAAACTTGCATATGAAACAAGAATGTAAGAATAAGTTACAGAATATTGTGACACTAATTGTATTTGTCCAATGCCGGACATGTTAATCTTTATAAAATGTAATTTGGGGTTTTGTTGGGAATGAGCACAGAGATTTGATTGAGGTGATTTTACTGCACCGTAAACTGAGCTGTTCAGACATGTTCATTACATGTACTTCACGTTACAACGAGTTTATAAAGAAATTATCAGCAAGTCTAATCAAGATCAATAATCAAATAGAATTATTGTTGTTTGGTCACAAACATTTGACAAAGTTGAACAATTGTTTTTAAATCTAAAATTTGTTATTTTTGGGCAGTATTAAAAATAGACGTGAAAGCGTAATTTTTATTTTAAAATGAAAGGTTGACCTTCCTTGTTAGGTGCTGTTAAAATAGAAAACACATTTTTTTTTTCATTTTCTGATTATTTTATACAATTATCAGTAATAAAAATGAATGGAATTTGGTCACTACAATATGACATAGCAAAATAAAGTCAATATATGATGCATTTAAATATGAAATATTTGAAAACTGATTTTTGATGCTAATAAAGGTCATTAGTTAATTGATCAAGCTAAGAGAATTTATGGAGACAAAAAGACCAGAATCCCTAACAGCAGATTGGCTGGCTGATGTAGCAAACAAACGAAGGGAGTTTATCTCTACAAGTGACGATTAGAGATGAATTTACCTGTATACGTCTGGTGTTGAAATGATTGCAAAGAAGGCGGTAGCTGTTGTTGAGGCGGACAGCTATGCATAGAGGTAGCAAACAAAGAACCTGAAAAGCGTATATACCAAGGAAAACTGACTTTAATTCTGTTACAATATCATGATTTTAAGTGATTTGATGAGCGTTTATAACATTATTTTGGAACTTTTTAAGGATGTTAAGTTAGCAGCACATGCAGAGGATAGAACAAGGCAAGTTACCAGGATTTTTATATATATTTTTTTTAATTTTGCTACAACTACAGCATGTTATATAAGAGTTTGCATGCAAAAAAGGCATTCACGCATGCGTATGTAGACACGTACAAATGAAGAGAAGTTGAAAATATGTGACAGTATCCCACACCTACTGGATTTAACAACTATTCATTGAAGTTATTTATGTAATGAAAATTTACTTTAAATTGGACTGTTTTATGCTGTTGTTTCTGTCAGTATGGTGTATCTCACTAAAAACTGTAACTGTACTGTACTGTACCAGCATGGTTTACCTCCACTATAAACCAGTACTGCACTGTACCAGCATGGTTTACCTCCACTATAGACCAGTACTGCACTGTGCCAGCGTGGTTTACCTCCACTATAGAACAGTACTGTACTGTGTCAGCATGGTTTACCTCCACTATAGACCAGTACTGTACTGTGTCAGCATGGTTTACCTCCACTATAGACCAGTACTG